TTTTATATAGGTGTTTCATCAGTTACCTTACAAAAGTCAACGCGATATTCGTATTGTTCCCATATACGCCGAAACTGTGACTCATCGACGTTGGCTACGCCCTGTGAAATTCGCTCTCCCAGCCCTCGAAGGGACTGCGGAATCCGAGGTTGGTATACCTGGTGTTTCACAAATTCCCATAGGTAGAAGCCACACGAAGGACCTGAGATCTAGAGGAACAAGGAATGAGTCCTGCTGTGTCCCATCCAAGCCTTTTTGCTCCTGAGACGCCATTTTCCTTTTATAGTGATCGGAGCGCCACTCGCGGCTGGTATACGAGTATTATAATCACTATCGCCAATGAAAACTTAATGAGCTTCCTTGCAGTTCTCAAATTGTTTCGTATATGTATCTATAACTGTTTCGACGATACACTAATTTTTCATCGCCAAAATAATTTACAGTAGCCTTGCATATATTTATATTTACTTAACACAACAGAATGGTAAAGTTATCCCTGCAAGAGACAGTCGGCTCACAGACAGTGGTGAGGTTGCCAGCCTTACGAGCCGGCCGCCGTTTACCCCCAGAAAGATTCCTGGTACTAATTTGTGTTGGAGGTTGAGTCGACCCCACAGACATTGTACAGCTGGAAGGAATAAGTCATTTGAAAAATTCAATTACCTCGTCTGGAATCGAACCAGCGACCTTCCAGCTTGTATCATAGCGCCTCAACCAACTACGCTACCGAGCGCCCCAACACAAGCGAATGTAATAATTGAAATTCAAATTTCCTGAAATATGCCTGATATTACACACCAAATTTCTGTAAGTACGTATAATTATTCCTTCCGTAAATTGGGAACACTTCGTTGCAATCTCCATATGACGACTGGCCTAGCTAAGCAGGGCTTCAGCGTTTAACTTTTCTAGGGAAATTCTATGCCTCCTTGCGCAACATACCGTCCGTTTGATACAATCTTACTTCGCGTGGTAAACACTGTAATTATTACAGGAGACCTTGAATGTTTTTGCGTTTCACGTAATAACAGCTCCTCTTAATCTTAGTTTATGTGTTTGTAATCCACAATTCTGTTTTGCTAATATTTCTCATATTACGTAATTAAACGAGTTTGTATCGGATGTAACTACGTTGGCAGAGTCTTAGAGGAAATTCTTCTCATCCAACTATCCTGAATGCCGCTCACGGTAGCCGAGCCGTCTAAGGCATGTACTATCTTCGCTCGCTTGGAAACCGGGATCGTGGGTTGGAATCCCACTCAGGGCACGGATGTTTAGTTTGTGTGTGTGCGTTTTTCTGTGTTTGTGTATAGGTAGAGGCCTTGCGACGAGCTGATCACCCGCCCAAGGAGTCCTACCGAATGTGTAAGATCTAAAAAAACCGAAGTGAACGGAGAAGTTCATGGAGGTAGGCCTAGGCCCACTGGGGCTGTAGTGCCAAGGGGGGGGGGAAATATCCTGAATATTTTAATTTCTTCATCACGTGACGATCAAGGTAACTAGGTTAGACAATATTTTATACGTTATCGAGTGCGCATGCTATGCGAGATTAGCCTAAGGTGTAGTGTTATCATTTTTTATCGATAAGTACAAGTATGATTCAGAAGTTTTCTAACTGAACTCTCGGTCCTTTTAGGGAAATTCGGGGTTACATCTCAGTTGACCAGCAATCTATGTCAATGATTGTTCGACAATCGTTTATTGCATAAAATAGTCACTATATGGCGACGTACGGGTAGATAACAGAACATGATTCAACGAGAATACTTATTCATAAGCCTATCTTACTCACTCATGGAGCTGAGCCCTTCTTGAGGAACCGCCAATCCTGCAGCTACTCAAGAATTTCCCAACATTTTATGGAACCCGAAGATTCATTACCGTGTTCACAAGAGCTCTCCATTGGTCCCTATCCTGAGCCAGATCAATCCAATCCATCCAATCCCATCCTATCTCTCTAAGATCCATTTTAATATTCTCCACCCACCTATGCCTTGGTCTTAGCAGTGGTCTCTTTCCTTCTGACTTTCCCACCAATATCCTATATGCATTACTCGTATCCCCCATTCGTGCTACATGCCCTGCCCACCTCATCCTCCTTGACTTGATCATTCTAATTATATTTGGAGAAGAGTACAAGTTATGAAGCTCCTCATTATGCAGTTTTTTCCAACATCCTGTCACTTCATCTCTCTTTGGTCCTAATATTCTCCTCAACACCTTCTTCTCAAACACCCTCACTCCATGTTTCTCCCTTAATGTCAGAGACCAAGTTTCACACCCATACAGAACCACAGGCAGAATTACAGTTCTATATATTCTAATTGTTATGTCTTTAGGCAGCAGACGAGAAGACAAAAGGTTCTGGACTGAATGGTAGCAAGCATTACCCGAGTTTAATCGCCTCTTAATTTCCTTCTGAATCAGGTTTCGATCTGTTATCGTTGTTCCCAAATATCTGAACTGTGCCACATTTTCAAAACATCTGTTTCCTATCCTTATGTCATGATTTTGCCCTGCATTTTGGTGACGAGACAGCAACATATACTTATCTTACAGCTGAATAATGATCATACATTTCTAAATACGGAAATTTGAAGTTTCTTGTGAATATCTTACATACACCGCTAAAGACTAGAACGGCCGGTGTATTATTAAAAGGGTTAGAGTTTGAAGGAATATATCGAGAACGGAAAATTTCTTAATTCTAAATTTTGTCGTGTTGCGTAATCAGAATGTTGTAAAGCCAAACAGGAAACGTTCGAGGACACTAAAATCGGGCGAAGCCGATGAAGAAGAGCTGTATCAGAGGATGCTAATGGACGAGTGAGTGGGGGTTCCCCGTTATGTCACCGAAATGCTTGTACAGGTTTCCGAAAGGAGGACGCGGAACCGGCGCCAAATATGCTGACCAACCCAGGATCGAGTCCCGGATTCCACGAATAACACACAAAAGGCAAGAGAAGATTACTACATTCTGAGATGCGACGCTATATAGTCTGGTAGAAAGTTAACCAGCTTTTCACAAGAATCTGTTGCCTCCATCTGCAGACTATGTATATGGTGTGACATCTCAGAAGACAGAAATTTTAATTCTCATGAATGTAGAATAATACATTATAATAGGCCACTACCGCCATCGTACATAGTCACAGTAGTCATGCTAAATTTCACACAGTCGTACTGTTTGTGAATTTTAATATGCAAACAAAAATTTTGTCCTAATACAAAATCTGTGTATAGGCTTGCTCATGACGTATTTCCATGCCACTTTTCACATGTTTAGCTTTAAGAGTGTAATGGCTATCATCACCAAGTCGAAAGCTAGATAAATGTTTTGTTCGGTGACCATGTTGTTTTAATTTACGTAGAAGAATGTTGTGATAAAAGTTTCGATCCTGGAATCTGTTACCACAACAAGAGACTTAATGTTGTACACTTAACAGATAGGTTAATTTGTTTTTTTGGGGGGGGGGTTATTTAATGACGATGTCAATATCTGAAATTACGCAGTACGCAATTTAACTTACGATCCAAACATTTGCTAGGGAAACTGAGGAAAATAGAGGACAAAATCAGCCAGGCTAGCTTGTCTCTGGGCTGATGTTTGAATTCGAGGTCCCCCGAACACTAAGCAGGATTGTTTATTACTGAGTCGCAAACTCTGGGAGGGCTGTAGGTAATAAGGAATTTGAAAGCTCAAAGTTGGGGTCACCTGAAGCTGATCCTCATACAGAGTTAAAAGAAAATGTGTCAGATTGTGGGAGACGAGGAATGCGTATAGGATATTGGTGGGAAAGCCAGAAGGAAAGAGACCACAGGGAAGACCAAGGCGTAGGTGGGTGGACAATATTAGAATGGATCTTAGAGAGATAGGATGGGATGGTATGGATTGGATAAATCTGGCTCAGGATAGGGACCAGTGGAGGGCTCTTGTGAACACGGTGAAGAACCTTCGGGTTCCATAAAATGCTGGGAAATTCTTGAGTAGCTGCAGAATTGGCGGCTCTTCAAGAAGGGCTCAGTTCCATGAGTAAGTAAGTAAGTCAGATTGTGTATACATTATTAGGTGTGGGTCAGAAACACACACAGACATGATGATATCACACACCTATTCATTACACGCTAACAAATAAGTTAAAAAAGTAAGTACTTCTATATAACGGTATTAAAAATTGAACACCGATAATTATCAACTTTGCAGAATCTTAAATTCGAAATGCAATTAGAGTGCGATCACATTTTATGCGAATTTGAAATAGTGCGATAAAAAATATCAAAGTCTCAATTTAAAATAATGCATATTCACAACAATTTAGCAAGAATGACGCGCATGTCTCAAAACTTGGTCTTGAAACATGCGAGGTCTTCAGGAACGCATCCTCGCATAAAATGCGATCGCACTGTACTCCCATCACACGGAATTAAAACTAAGCATCCATAATTAAACAACTATACAGAATTTTAAATTCGAAATACAATAAACAACAGGGTTTTTGGAGAACATTTGGACTGAAGAGAGATAAAGTGACAGGAGGTTGGAGAAAACTGCATAATGAGGAGCTTCATAACTTGTACTCTTCTCCAAGTATAATTAGAATGATCAAGTCAAGGAGGATGAGGTGAGCAGGGCATGTAGCACGAATGGGGGAGACGAGGAATGCATATAGGATATTGGTAGGAAAGCCAGAAAAGACCACTAGGAAGACCAAGATGTAGGTGGGTGGACAATATTAAAATGGATCTTAGAGAGATAGGATGAGATGGCATTGATTCGATTGATCTGGCTCAGGATAGGGATCAGTGGAGGTCTCTTGTGAACACGGTAATGAACCTTCGGGTTCCATATTATGCTGGGTAGATTTGGCTTCTCCTGAAGAAGGGCTCAGTTCCGTAAGTATAAACCACGACTTGCGGCTGTGTAGCACCGGAAAGAGTCTAGTGCCGTTGGTTGCAGAGGGTTGGCAGCCATGCTGCACGGTTGAGAATCCAGGCGAGCGTATGCAGCTGTTCAGAGCGGCAAGGAGCGACGAAGCAACCGTTAGTTGAAAGCAGCCACTGCAGAGTGCGGTTTGAATTTATGGGTTTAAATCGTTATGTGTAGTAAGTTGGATTCAAGTTAAGCCAATCGTGCGTCGCAGTGCCAAGAAATGAATAATGGAGAGTTAATGTCTGCAATGGAATTCAAAAGCGAAGACATTCGAGTGACCTTTACTATAGTGTTGTATTGTTGACTTTTTCAACTGTTTTGTGTGGTTTGAATTGTTAGTGTTTGTGTGCAGTGAAGTGCCAGGAACCCATTTATCGTTCGCCTCAAGTAAGTAACGAGCAGTTTAACTGAGCCCATGTATTTTTGTGAAACGTATCTTTTTTTTTTCTTTTGCTTGAAAACTTGTTTTTATGCATCAGTTTCCTTTTCCCATTTTGTTTCTTTACGGCTTTGGGTTCAGTCTCTCTACAATGTAAAGTCCTTCATTCTCCGATGTTTATATTGAACCCATGTTAAGGACGGAAGTGAGGAGAGAGACTTTTGTATGTATATAAAATGTAGTTTTTCGAAATAAGAAAATAACATGGAGTGAAGATGTTTGAGAACGGTGCTGAGGAGAATATTTTAACTTACGAGAGAGGAAACAATAGGAGGGCGAAGAAGACTGAGCAATAAGGAACTTCACAATATGTGCTCTTCGCCAAATACTGTTGGGATGATCAGATTAAGGAGAATTAGATGGGTGGGGCATGCAACACGCATGGGGGAGAAGAGAAATGTAAACTAAGTAGGCCAAACTGGAAGAAAGAGACCATTGTGAACACCTAGGCGTAGATGGGAGAATAATGTTAAAAGATATGTAATGGGTATGGGAGAGTGAAGAGGAAGAAATAAAAGTTATCCCTGGGTTTAATTAATTAAGCACCGCGCCATGTAGACGTCTAGGGGTGTTGAGGTATAGCTTCACCATTTTTGACCTCGGCACTAGATGGAGGTGAGTGATTAACTTCAGCCCCCGGCAGCTTTACCCCTAGAAAAGCAGCCCCCGTACCCATTGGACATGAGGTTGGGTGGGTCCCGCAGCCGCTATGGACATTACGAAGAAATGTTTCTTACCCCTGCCAAGAGTTAAGCCCTTACCTTAGTTGCTATACCGAGCGAGCTACTCCGGTTCTGGATGAGGGGGGTGTGTGGGCTACGTTAATCTGGCAGAGGATATGTACCTGTGGGCGGTCTCAAACGTGAACACGGTATTAATCCTTCAGGCTTCATAAAATACCGCAATTTCTTGACGACTGAACAGTTATTAGTTTATCAAGAATGACTCTGCTCTATTGGGTTAGTAAGAAATGACATTCGATTTTTGCTGGGGCTGTACTTTCTTTTAAGTGTATTCCCTTCACTTCAGACAGTTCCGCGACTGATCCACGGGTTGTATTCCAGTCCGGCTTGAGTCGGGATATTGATGACTTTTTCTCGGGGATTAGGACGGTCGGAGCATGAAGCTGGATATTCATCTCTACCTAGTGCTGGGACTAACATCCGGATATATACCTCCACACCCAGTATACCCTCTGACTGCGTGCTGATTTTGCTACAGACATCTAAATGTCGTATGCGCGTTGCGTGAGTAAAACCCCGGGCTAATACCACTTAAAGTCGCTTGCTACTGGCCAGTTCTGTCTTTCTTAGTCATCAGATGAATTCTTTTAACACTCTATTCTCGTTACTGGCTCCTTCATAGAGAGAAGTTGCAATAATGCGTGTTCGAAACCGCGAAATGGATTTTTGTATCATTTCATATTGGAGACTCCTATTACAATTTTTTCGGCTTATTCCAATTTTGGTTGTATCCGAACAATAACGGATACTACATGAACACACATAATATATGCATCTCGAACTTACATAACTAAAGGCCGCGCCATAGCTCAAGCGGTTAGTCGCTGACTTCCCACCGCGGCAGCCCGAGTTCGATCCCGGGTCTGGTCATGTGGGGTTTGTGGTGGACAGAGTGGAGCTGGACCAGGTTTTCTCCGAGTACTTCGGTTTCCCTTGTCAATCTTCATTCCACCAAATTCTCCATCATCATAATCACCCGGGAGCAGGTACAATAGGCCAATCAGTGGCCGCCGTGCCGAGTGGACCCAGTTGGACTCCACTCCCCACTAAGCGAATACTTAACTAAATATTTATCGGAGAGAAGAGTGTTTCAAAAGAAAGGTGTACACAGAAATGAAATACTCTTCCATACCCAAGTATAGTCTTACTGTTTTCGAGGCGAAGGAGTATGAGGGATACAACGCAGGCACCCACATAAGACAGACACTTCATAAGACACAGCATATACACAATTAAAACATAAGAACGACTCCTGTAGCGGATGAATGGCGTTACACACAGGTTTGATATACGACATGTAAGATGACAGATCTTAACAAATTTTAATATATAAATTTTATTATTGAACAACGACAAACACAATTTATATCATTTTATAAATGGACACTTGATGGCAAGCAGTGCAATGGTTTAACGTGATTAATACACCTGAGGATGGGAGAATGATGCCGAAACATGTAGTGTGAAGTGACAAGTGAAATTGTATGCACTAAAAGACGGTTAATATATACATATATGGATTCTTACTTCACGAAGAAACCTTCCATCAGTAGGCCTGTATCTCCATAGGAACTCATAAAGACCAATTCCTCAACCGTCGAAGAGGAGGCCCCCATTTCCAAACATGTAAATTGTCTTGCAACGAATAAAAATTTCGTTAAATATTCCGACGGGAACCAAAAACTAGGAAGAACCGAGCTTGCTAGAGAAAGCAGCAATTTACTGCTATGCTACTCTTACTGTTTGCTGGAATGTGACAACATGTAGTCTGGTAGACAGGTACATATGTTTCGGAAACAACCCTCACCTATCATCTGGGGCTGGTACAATAGGCCAGAAGTGGCCGCAGTACAAGAGACTTAGTCCCACCCCACTAGCAATAATACCAAAAGACGTAATCTTCATAGCAGCAGAGGTGGGATCAGATCTCATGGAAACTCCACAAATAATTGGCTTCAGTTCTTAAGAGATGCACTCGTTTCTTTCACCAACTTCAAACATCAAATAAATTCAGCCTCTGACCGCACTAACCGAACGGGTTGGTGCTCAAGAGGTGTTCGGTTCAAACCTTAGCCTGGATATAGACTCACCCAACTGAGATTTTCGTGATTTACCTCGGCCGCTCGTGGCAAAGACAAGTGTAATATCTCGAATATTCTAAAACCGTCTCCTCCCAAATCCTTCCATATTCATTACTTATCTGTCATCCTACCAATCGTCGTTATATAATCAGGCTACTTACAGCGTCGGAAAGCTGCCCCCCCCCTAAAAAAGAGTGACCTTTCTCATACCGCGCCTGTTTCCCACAGCTCCGTCTTGCTGTTCTGCTTTGTAAAGAGGCCCATAAAACCTTATGTCATTCTCATCGGTAACATGCCTTTGCTTATCACACGTCCTGTGAATGAATAAGGGCGTGGAGGTAAAGCCCAGCGTATTAGCTTCAATAGAAAGCACTGCCTTGCCGGCTTTGCACTTACCCTTTACGGTAAAAGTGTCAATCACATATGACCATATAGTAATGCCATACGCCCTTACATTGTGTTGGGTTTCGTATTACACAAGTCCTTTGCCGCTCGCGTGCACTGAAATTTCGGGTTCCATAAAGGGCGGGGTTACTTTCTGAGTAGCTGAGAAACTATCAGTTCAGGCCGCGCCATAGCTCAAGAGGCTAGTCGCTGGCTTCCCACCGCGGCGGCCCGGGTTCGATCCCGGGTCTGGTCAAGTGGGATTTGTGGTGGAAAAAGTGGCGCTGGGGCGGGTTTTCTCCGAGTACTTCGGTTTCCCCTGCCAATCTTCATTCCGCCAAATTCTCCATCATAATCACCCGGGGCAGGCCACAATAGGCCAAAGTGGCCAAATAGTAGACCCAATTGGACTCCACCCCCCACTAAGCGAACCAAAAAAAAAACATATCAGCTCTTCCAGAATGATTTTGCTGTGTGATATCAAGTTTGATTTTTCCTGGAAGATACACTGGGTAACAATCTTCAAACTGCAGGCCGCGAGGAGGACGTCCAAGGAATCGGGATCCGTTTCTGTCAGTGGCAAGACCATATCTGCTTCACCGATTCCAAACTGGTTCCGAGAATCACCCAGCCTCCTATCCATCGGGCACGGAGGTAAAGCGACAGGGGAGTGAAGATGGTCACTCACCTCCATCTAGAAGCGAAGTTACCTCCACTCACCCGTACGACTTGGCGGAATGTGCTTAATTAAGTCCAGGGTCAACTTTACTTTTTGCTTGCCATTCGCAGTCGGTATAGCGACTAGCTACGGGCTGGATGACCGAGGGATCGGAGTTCGAGTCCCGGTATGTTCAAAAATTTTCTCTTCTCCACGTCGTCCAGACAGGCTCTGGGGGTCCACCCAACATCCTATCCAATGTGTACCGGGGGGCCTTTCCCCGGGGTAAAGCGGCCAGGGTGTCAAGCTAACCATTCAACCCCCATACAGTGCCGAGGTCGAAAATGGCAAAGCTGTTTCTGCACTCCCTAATGCCTTCATGACGTAGTACTCAACTAATTAAGCACAGGGATAACTTTACCTACATAATCTGCTTAAGGGAGAAATTCTATAAAGCGGGGGCGTTCTGTATTATTGGGGCGACAGGAGAATTGAGTAATTTGAACTTCAGACCGGTATACGTGACAGTGAGATAAGAGACTTGATCTTGTAATTTACAGTACACGGGTCATACAGAGAATTAGACTAGACGCTTATCGCTTCTGGAATTCCAATAAATTTCCGATCCACGTTATCACATTATGATATCATAAATCGATCATTTTTCGTTACAAATAAAGCGCTTTAATTTATTTTCATAAAGTCAAGGTGAGATAAGAACTATAACGGTTTTAAATAGTTTTATTTGGGTTATCAATTCAGTGCGTAGTATACCAATACTGTGGATTTTTTTTTCACGAGTTAGTGGCCATTATGCGGACTAATTCGTGTCTTTTAACAAATCGGTGCCAAAAAAAAACTGAAAATGGGTATACAGAATTAGATTTCGATTCCAGAACAGTTTTCATTAAAATCTGACCTCGATTTTGGACCGCAAATTATTAGCTGCATTGTGGTTTTTAGTGGAGAAAAAAATAATTTCACAGTGCAGAAAACACATCACTTAGTGCCTTTCAGAGAACACATTCCGTCTCTGTTAACCATCCGGTTAACGCTGCTTATTGTGAGAATCTTGCGAAATA